CTTTGTGTGTTCTACCGATTATACAACGGACTGTGTTCTGAGGAATTGTTCGACATGATGCCTACGGCCACCTTTCACCATCGCAATCGAAAACCTGTTATATAGATCCGCCCCCACGCTCGGCTCATGGGTAAGGCAGATACAACTTTGAGTAGAATAAGAAAAATTCAGGCAATACTAGGCAACATAGTAGTATATGCGTGTGTGTTTCTCTGTATGTATGTACGATTATCATTGTGTGAATACAGCGTATGATTGATGTTGAATGAATTATGTTTTACACTTAGATTGTGGACTGAACTTCCTGCTGAGGTTTTCTCACGAGACTACAGCATGGGGTTTTTCAAGAAACCCTTCTTATATTAAGGGTCGGCAATGAGCACGTGACACCCCTGGTGTTTCAGGCGTCCATAGGCTACGGTAACTATTTACCATCAGGTGGGGCGCATGCTTATTTGCCACTACAGTATAAAAAAAATCTTTTTATACTCGTATATATTTAAATAAATAATTTATGAGTAAACATATTCGTCTACCTTCACACGTCTTTGTTAGTTATTACTATTGGAACTCGATATATCTCGGCCAACTATACTCACAGTATACTCACGTACATTTAATATACTTTCTGATCAATAGTACTTTTATTTAAACGAGTCTACATACTTATTTAGTTTGTTGAATTCCAGTCACAGTATTATAAAATGTTCATTGTCCAGTACCTTAATCTTTATTTGGAGAAACAACTTACAACAAATTACCTTTAAGGTAATAAATTTCCTTAATTTACTCATACAAATCAACATCATTGTCACATTAAATATTTACATTAAAATGTATATGTAAATTATATTAAAGTTTAGGTTTTATATGTAGGTTCTATATGTATAATGGAACTGATTAAATAATAATAATAATATAGTATTTCAGGACACAGCGCCATCTAGTTCCATACTTAGCAGCTTGTGTTATGGGTACTAGACAACTGATACAAATACATATATTTTTTGCAAATGTATACATAATATATATAGAAAACACCCAGACCGATAAACAATCATACTCATGAATACAAATGATTGTGCCGTGCGAGGAAACAACCCGCGACCTTCGGAAGTAAAGCAGTGTGCTATACCACTTGACCACCGAGGCCGTCATATTTTAATGATTTTATACAATTATGTTTATTTATATATCTTCATACATATCTTGGTAATATGTACTTTACGGAGAATACAAGTAATGTGGCTCATGCGGATGACGCAGTCCACTTAACACGTGTCTAATGCCAAAATATAATAACTGTGGGATTATTAGTTAAGCAGAGCTGTCCAAAACATGGCCCGCAAGATACATGCGGCCTGCATATTTATTTTTTCAATAACAAAATTCTTGTAGAGAGAAAATTTTATTTCGATTATTTTGTATTCCCAAATGATTTGATGAGAAAATTATGTTCTCTTTTGCTCTTATAAGCATGCACTGTGTCTATCTGCTAGTAATACTAACGTTGATGTTGACAGAGTTGAAAAGGTTTTTAATTTATTACTTTTAGGTTAGGAACGTCTCTCGCGCGTGTTGGCTCGGTAAGTTATTCTTTTCAACAGTCCACATTATGGCAGGGAAAAAAGAGGGCAGCCAAAATTTGCCTACTTACATTTTTGAACAGATATATTAATGAAAAAGTAATACAATTATCATCATCATCATCATCATCGCAGCTCGGAAGACGTCCACTGCTGGACATAGGCCTCCCCCAAAGATTTCCACGACGATCGGTCCTGCGCTGCTCGCATCCAATGCCTTCCAGCGGTCTTGACCAGATCGTCGGTCCACCTTGCTGGAGGCCTTCCCACGCTGCGTCTTCCGGTCCGTGGTCGCCACTCGAGGACTTTACTGCCCCAACAATTTAGCGAATTTAATAAAGTTATATTTTTCTTTTTAATATCAATATTGTTTGCTATATATTGAAATGAATATTAAGTGAGGTGGTAATAGGTCTTATTATAAAGTAGTGTTTTCAACCATTTGACGAATTTACTAAATTTATTTTCTTCTTTTTAATATGAAGAATTTTTTCTAACTATTGAAACGGATATTGTGTGAGCCCCAAATATATGTAATACAAGATTCTATTTCAAATTTTATAGCATGATTGATATCGACGGGGCATATCTTTTAGTTTGATATACGAAACGGTATATTTACTGCCAAATTAGTAATGACATATTGTAATTTAAAAATTGTAATGGGTGAAAACTGTGATTGTTACAGCCTATGCTGTAAATAATATAAATGACGTAGTGGAGTAACTTGAAACAGTCATGCTCGCTATAAAGTTCAAACTTGTGGCGGCGTGGTGGGCCGGGTCCATGTGTTCCCTCAATTAAGATTGAGTGCAATGACGGCTGGCTCATCCGTCATACTCGTGAACGGGTGCTGCTTGTGGGGACTGGTCTGTTTGGGTTGCGAACACTGATTAGACTATTTACTTTTGCAATAGCATATGCCGGTGGTCACTCTATTCTCCCAAGTTTGAATTAAAAAATTAATCTGTATTATTGTAAACATGTATAATATTAATTTGAAAAGAAACGAGCTGAGTTTCTTGTCAGTTCTTCTCATCTCGATATCATTCCGAACTGACGGTAGATTTGACATATCATAAGAGTCAGTAATAGACCTACATGAATAAAGATATTTTGAATTTGAATTTGACATATAGTCCTGCCGTGGTGTTACATCGACGGGGCGGTCGGTCTAGGTCCAGATTGCAGTCATCAGACTGGCAGGGGTCGCGACGGGCACGCTCTGGACTTGACCCCCGCAGGACCCCGCTATCATACAAACGACATATGTAGTTTGAAAATTATCACAACACCAGTTACTAACTTATTTTTAAAATTTCGCGTTAAGTACACATCATTACATAGTATAAAAAAAAGTCGCTGTCGCTGTCTGTCCTTATATATGTTAATCTTTAAACCTACGCAACGGATTTTGAAACGGTTTTTTAAAATAGACAGAGTGATTCTAGAGGAAGGTTTATGTATATAATACATGTACACCCGGGCGAAGCCGGGGCGAGTAGCTAGTTATTAATATAGTTAAATGGTTTTAAACACAAATAATTGTATGACAAACGTCGAGAGTGGTAAATACCATTATCTAAATATATATAACTCAAAGGTGACTGACATAGTGATCTATCAACGAACAGCCGAAACCACTGGACAGATCGGGCTGAAATTTGGCATGCAGGTAGATGTTATGACGTAGGCATCCGCTAAGAAAGGATTTTGATTAATTCTACCCCCAAAGGGATAAAATAGGGGATGAAAGTTTATATGAAACTTTGTCAATTTTAAACCGATCGGGCTGAGACTTTGCATGCATAAATCTACTATGACGTAGGCATCCCCTAAGAAAGGATTTTGAAAGAAAGAAAGAAAGAAAGAAAAATATTTTATTCAGTGCAATGTAACAAAAATACAATATAAACAACAAACGAGAAAAAAAAAAAATGAGCAAATAAAATGTACATATAATCAAACTTAATTTACCATAATTAAAAATAAACATAAAATAATCATTTTTTACATCCAAAAATGCACTGAAATGGCTCCACTCAGCTTTAATGTATGTCCTAGGTGGACATACAGCTGGTTTTCAGTGGCACCAAAAATACATATATAAAAGGGGGGGAGAGAGAGGGCACTATTTATAATATTCATGATAATAAATAATATTCATGATAATAAATGATTTTGATAAATTCCACCCCAAAGGGGATAAATGAGCGAAGCCGCGGGCAAAAGCTAATTTGCCATAAAGGTATTCGTGTTGACTGGTTCTACCGTTTAACTATATGAATAAACAGTTGCACAGTTTACATTAAGAATTATATATTATATGAACGGAATATTTATCATTTGTTAAAACAATGATTGAGAAATATAAAACATCAGTTAAATTATATTTAACATCCTCTGGTCGATGCCAAATTCTGATTATCGACCAGTAAGAAGCACTGCTTATCACGTGACATATGTTTGAACACCAATCAAAAGTGTCGACAATCCACGGTAAATAGTATTATGTAATTAAAAATGCGATGTTGTTGCAATAAATTCTTCATGAGAAGAGGCAACAAGATTGAGTTATTACACTCTTATTTAATACAAAACAAATTAACACCATGATAATTATGATCTCCCAATCTGTGACTAGACATTTATAACGGTGTTTAAATATCAGGAGCTCATAAATAATCTTATTACAATAAATAAACCGTTTATATAATTGCAAACAATCGCGAATCGTGAGAAAAATGAAAACATTATTTAACATTCTTTTTCATATGCGTGAAATTACTTTTTAAAAAATATAACAAAAGACGATTAATTTAAATCTTAAAACTATCGTAATTACAGAAGTAATGGCAATTGAATATCAACTTTATCGGCACTGAATTACATTTAAAATTATTTACTAAAAATCAGTAGTTAAACTTTTATTAATATAAACAGTTTCTTTTATCTTAAAATAACATATATACTTCAAATATCGTTACTGACCACAATACAAACTGGGTCTGTCTATCTATTTTGTAATATTACACTTATCAATTATATCACATTTTTTTACATAACATTATATAACTATTTACATTTAAAATGTAAATAACATATACTTAACAATAGATATCTACACTTCAAGATTAAGTATAATATAAAATTCGATCAAAATATTGAACCAAAAATTTCAGGAATAATAAAATTGTTCCAAATCATTTTTAGAATGATAAAATGCGTTGTTTATGAAATGTATGTCGTTATTACAACAATTGTAGAAATACTAAAATTATAAATAAGATCAATGATGAAAATTTTCAAACATAAGACATTTCTAATATATTGCGTTTAAATTTCATTTGACACAGCATGTCTTAGAAGTTTTCTTTAAACATACATTATCATAAAATCTCTTTTATATAATTTTCAGTCTGTAAAATAAAGTAATTACTTAATATATCAATAAACATAGTAAAGAATATAATAAGTATGTCGAAATACTTGCATATAGGAAAGAACCTGGTGACGAATGTATTAAGTTTCTGTAATCTTTTGCTTCGTTTTGCGACGGGTATGTGTACGTTCTATCTGTCACTTTAACATCTTGAGGGCACGGTAGCAGATCAATCGGTATCTGAAGCAGCGTCCCTTCATTCTCTTTCTTAACAATTTCTATCTCTTGTAAGTTATTTTCGTCGATTTCATCTTGAAAGATATCATCAGTATTATCGTCAAGGTTTTCTAAATTCTTATTATCTACATTGTAATTATTATTCGCACTTATAACACTCTTCTCAAACAGAGCAAGTTGCGAGTTCAAAACTAGATCGGTGCTTAATTTGCAGGCGAAATTTTCCAACGATGTTCTTGTTTTGGTACTTCTCGTTTCGTGTCGGAGTTTATGCATCCACGCCAAGTGGCAATCGCAAGGTAGTTCGTTGCCTGTAACAATTCAAGTCTTAATTAAATAGAATTGGGCTAATTATGACTTTTGTACGCCCCGATTGTACAGCGTAATTGATTTTTATACGATAACCGAATTACCTTTTTAGGTCGAATATTCCAATTTTCTAATTAACACGCAAAATTTTCTTTATATATTTTTTCTTTTGATTCATCGAGGTAGATAGGCTTTAAAATTTCAGATAATTTTATATCTAGTAGCGACTAATTAATGTTATTAAAATTTAATTAGACAGTTAAACTTTGAGAATTTGTCCCTTATATTTAACAAAATCCTATGAGAAATACAATTTAATGAACGCCACGTCGTATACATTTACCAAGTGGGAGAGGACATTGTTAACAATGGAAATTGGTGATACAATTGCTGTAAATAGTACATCAAGTCCCCCTAGGAAACTGTTTTTATTACATGTAAAATTGCCACAATAGGCTAACTGATTTGAGTTCATGCTCATCCTCTTGTCAGGAGATGATAGGATGAGCTTTGTTATTAGGAACTAATGGGAACTAGTGCTCCGCCAACCATTACTAACAAAAAACAAACATGTAGGTATACTAAAACGTCTAGCTGCGAAGATGATAGGACGGGATTCGGTATAAGAAACTAACTTGTAGGAACTAGTGCTCCGCCTGCTGTTACTAACAAAAAAAAACGTGTACATAGGTATACTAAAACGTCTAGCTGCGAAGATGATAAGACGGGGTTCGGTATAAGAAACTAACTAGTAGGAACTAGTGCTCCGCCTGACGATACTAACAAAAAAAAAAACGTGTAGGTATACTAAAACGTCTAGCTGTGAAGATGATAAGACGGGGTTCGGTATAAGAAACTAACTAGTAGGAACTAGTGCTCCGCCTGCCGTTACTATCAAAAAAGAAACGTGTAGGTATCCTACAACGTCTAGCTGCGAAGATAAGACGGGGTTCGGTATAAGAAGCTAACTAGTAGGAACTAGTGCTCCGCCTGCCGTTACTATCAAAAAAGAAACGTGTAGGTATCCTACAACGTCTAGCTGCGAAGATGATAGGACGGGGTTCGGTATAAGAAACTAACTAGTAGGAACTAGTGCTTCGCCTGACGTTACTAACAAAAAAGAAACGTGTAGGTATCCTACAACGTCTAGCTGCGAAGATGATAGGACGGGGTTCGGTATAAGAAACTAACTAGTAGGAACTAGTGCTTCGCCTGACGTTACTAACAAAAAAGAAACGTGTAGGTATCCTACAACGTCTAGCTGCGAAGATGATAGGACGGGGTTCGGTATAAGAAACTAACTAGTAGGAACTAGTGCTTCGCCTGACGTTACTAACAAAAAAGAAACATGTAGGTATCCTACAACGTCTAGCTGCGAAGATAAGACGGGGTTCGGTATAAGAAGCTAACTAGTAGGAACTAGTGCTCCGCCTGCCGTTACTAACAAAAAAAAAACGTGTAGGTATACTAAAACGTCTAGCTGCGAAGATGATAAGACGGGGTTCGGTATAAGAAACTAACTAGTAGGAACTAGTGCTCCGCCTGCCGTTACTAACAAAAAAGAAACGTGTAGGTATACTAAAACGTCTAGCTGCGAAGATGATACGATGGGGTTCGGTATAAGAAACTAACTTGTAGGAACTAGTGCTCCGCCTGACGTTACTAACAAAAAAAAAACGTGTAGGTATACTAAAACGTCTAGCTGCGAAGATGATAAGACGGGGTTCGGTATAAGAAACTAACTAGTAGGAACTAGTGCTCCGCCTGATGTTACTAACAAAAAAGAAACATGTAGGTTTACTACAACGCCTAGCTGCGAACGTATATGTCAGTATTTCACAGAACAAATAGCGAAGCTTAGGCAGAATTTATAGGTTACATAATATTAATACGATCCATAAATTTGACTGTACCTTTCGCCGGCTTGATTTGCGGAAATCCGGTGACGGTTTGGGGCGCTATATCGCATAAATACTATATAAATCAGACTCAAAAAGATCTCTGCGTTCACTCGATCTCGAGCTCGAATCGGATCTACATTACACAGGTACATATTTGTCAATTTAAATTTCCAACTTACCAGTGGAGAACGTCCCGATGTCCCTTGAATAAACAGATGGGACGTGAGATGGGACATCAGGGACACCGGTAGGACCGTTTACCGCTATATTTAAATGTAATCAGTGAAATGTGAGCCACTCGAAATCTACCTTCAGTACTAGCAACATTGGATAGAAATAGTGTATATTATACTAAAATAACCCTTTAATATCCCTATGATATTGGTCCCTTCGTTTAAAAGGGGAATATGATTCTTTTATTATAATGCTTTATAAAGAGTTTTAGTTCGAGCATTTCTTTTTTGTACTACTGTGTTGTTTTATTGTACTATTTTTCTTGCCACCTTTTACGACATTTTAAGAAAGGAATGGAGTCTTGTTTTATTTTTTCCTGCTATGATCACACAGAAAAAATAAGTTACATTTAAATAATTGACTTTACAGTCTTGTAACTTATTTATTACTAGCTGTTAACCGCGACTTCGTCCTCGTGGATGTTAACTTTAATTTATTAAAAATTAAAAATTTATAAAATAAATAAGATAAGTAGCTCTTATAGCTAATACTCTATCTTCGAGTGTATGTCTCATCAAAATTGGTGCATCCATTTCATAGATCAGCAATAATAAGCAGACAGACAATTTTTTTTTAATGTTTAGGTACTTACATTAAAAAAAAATTGTCTGTCTGCTTATTCTTGCTGATCTATGAAACGGATGCACCAATTTTGCTGTTAAGTTTGAAATTACAAACAGAAACTTGAATTTCATTTATTTGTATATATAATAATGACCCATATTATTATAATTCAGTTTTTAATACATTATTGTTGATTACAATCATTTTGTTGCAAAAGCTTTATCCAACTGTCATGATTTGCTTTAAATACAGCCTTAATAATGGAATAAAATGTGGGTTATTGCCGCTATCGCAAGAAAGTTAATAGAGGGAGCCACTAAGTTATGCCGTGTAAATAGCAGCGCCATATTCTCCAGACTACCTTTCTAGAATAAATACCTCTGCCTATGGCTAGTCTATGGCATGCCATGTCACATTGGTGGTGGAGCAATAGCGACTACTGGGGAGAGAATACATTTGAGAGGACTTGATAGTCGAGTAGTGAACAACTAAGTAGTACCATTTACAGTTATTATAATACAACCAAGACCAGAATAGCAATATGTGGAGACTGCTCAGCAATGTAATATTAATAAGTGTTAAATTAATGATATTTATAGAAAGTATGATGTAATGAAACAAATACATACCTTCAAGATAAATGTAACTATTTTCTTTCAACAAGTTGTCGTAAATCGGTTTCACATCATCAGATGTAAATCTCTTCAGCTTATTAAATCTTAAGTCTAATCCGAGTAATCCTCTTACACCTGCGAATAGTCCACCTGCTAAAATGATAAGGTTGTTGTGATTCAAATTCAACTTTTTTAACTGCGATAATCCGTCAAAACTTCTCTGAGCTACAATACTTATTTCATTGTAATCTAATAACAAGGATTCTAGATTCCACAACTCGGTGAATACAAAGGAGTTAAGAAGAGATATTTTGTTGTGACTTAAGTCAAGTCGCTTTAATTTGGCGAGTCCTTCGAAGCATTCTTTTCTGAGTTCACTTATATTGTTTTTATCCAATTCCAGTTCTAATAAGTTCACAAGATGTCTGAATGCTCCATCTTGTATTACGCTCACATTATTGCTTGTGAAATATAACTTTTGTAAGTTGGTCAATTTAAAAAATGTATCAGTTACTATTTCTTTTATATTGTTTTCATCTAAAATGAGAACAACCAGATTCGGTAAATTGTTAAAGGAATGCTTGTTAAGATGTTCGATTTGATTTTTAATCATTGTTATTTCTTCTATTGAGGTCAAATTAACAAATGTATTTTCTTCTACTTCTGTTATAGAGCTAAACTTTATGCTAATTTTTTTTAGTTTCTGTAGATATCTAAGCAGCTTTGTTGGTACAAATTTTAGTGCACCGTCAGCTCTCACGTTGAAGGCCAACGTTTCTATGTTGGTCTGTGTACTGAAGCTTGTCCATATTGGGTCAGCTTTTTCTATACCTCCATTAAACACCCAACATTCTGTCTTCACTGCTCTGTTGATTTCTTGATTCAACTCACAGTAGCAGTGAAGTTTTGAGTTTCTATCTCGTATGTCACACACGTTCATTATCCTCGGCGAGGATTTTTCCTTCACTTCGTCATTGCTCCTGTTTGCATGCAGTTCCACTAGTGCAAGGAGCAACAGTAGCAAGGCAGCGGGTGCCTTGGAAGCCCGCATGCCTTCTACCTGCAACAAAAAAGGAAAATTAATTAATAAAGACACCAATTTTGACAAAGATCACACTGACTTACAACTTTTTCCGATTTTCCTTAAAGGAAAACATGTATTTAATGGTTATATAAAACTCATGATGGACGGGGAGAGGACACCCTATAAAAAGATGGATGGATTGTGTGAAAGATGATATGAATAAAAGAAGAGTATGCTTATATATGACGACCACAAATAATGGGATAAAGGCAAGGAAATGATGATGATAGATAAGATTTTTAGTTTAATTGACAAGTTTCAAATAACAAATAAGTACAATTTTTACGAATAAAGAACGTACCTAATAAAAATCCTTTGAAATAAAAAAATCAAAATAGAGTCTGAATTTGAGAAGATTTTATTTTGCCTCTTAAGAACTGCAGTAAGTGATATACTAGAACGTGTATCTAAAGCTGCACTAGCAGGCTCCTACTAGATTTGTTTGGGCCGGGAGAGAAGCACGAGTGGTGCAGGTGAGTACGTATGTCGCAAGAGGCCTCTTAAACCTACACCCGGAACAAGTTCCGGGAACTGCTCGGAGTTTTCCTCTCTTTTGTACGATGGATCTGGTGAATGCATGGAAGGCTATACTGAAGTTCGTCTCCTTAATTTTTTTTTGTCTATTGTATTATTACTTATTATTGATCTATTAAGATTCGATTGCTTAAAAAACAAACGTGCATGGAAATAGTTGTTCATGCATAGGATTTTCATTTAATGTTAGACTTAGACACCTATATATATATACATTATAAATAAACTGGCTTTTTTTTTTAAAAAGTAAAAAAAATCAGTTGCATTTCTTGCCAGTTCTTCTCAATTGAATCTGTATATATTACAGTTAAAATAGACCAAAAAAAATGATAACTTAGCCAAAATTCGCATAGAGCTGAAAATTGGTATAGATGTTAAATAAACCATTACAAATGAAATGTCAAAAATCCCCATCGATCTACTATACCCATCGACTACTTCTGCAATCCTATTTTGACTATAATATTTTCGGTTTCAGAGAAAAATGGAAAAATCCTGAATTTTTGACTTTTGACCTAGGATAAAAAATATTGCACAAGTAGGATCGATGGGGATTTTTGACATTTCATTTGTAATGGTTTATTTAACGTCTATACTAATTTTCAGCTCTATGCGAATTTTACCTAACTTAAATGTCTATTTTGACTGGACTATATACTGAACTGGATGGTAGAGGCAAAATTTGTTGATACAAACATTTCACGTTCATAAGCAGCTAAAATGTCCTACATGAATGAATAATTTTTGACTTGATTGTATTTCATTATTATTACTAGTTTTTGCACCGTTGCAATACAGTCTTTATTAGCAACAGCTATCGATTTCTTTACAAAACGTTAATATATACAGTCTATAGAAACAAATCGTTAAAATAATATGTGCCTGCAGACTATAATTGCATTTTTAATTCCCCAGTTGCATCGCCGAAGTGCTCTCATAACTATAACTTCCACTATACAACGTGCACTCTAAAATCGAAGCGTATACCATCGTTTCTATTTCTATTGCTATTGCAATGAGAAAGTTATTGAGTACTAGCTTTTATCCGCGGCTTCGCTCGCATAACTTCATTATTGGCTGCTAGATGGCGATAAAGTAGTAAATGTTGATATGTATTTTATTAAAAAAAAAAGTTTTTTGATGTTTTAATAAAAACATGTGTACATTCTAATACCTCCAAGAATATGTGTACAAAGTTCCATGATGAGGTTTTTACAATTTTTGTCTGTCTTTCTGTCTGTTTGTTCCGGCTAATCTCTGAAATGGCTGGACCAATTTGGACAGGTTTGACTTGACTTTGGTAGGTAGCTGATGTAATAGGTAGTAACTTAGGCTACTTATAAAAAAAATAGAGAGCACAATACATCTATGTAGATCGCAGTGCTACAGGTGCAGGTATCTGACAATAGCCCAAACGGGCCAATAAAAAAAAAATAGGCTACTTTTGTACTTTTTAGAAAAATAAAATAAATTCCACGCGGACTAAGTCGCGGGAACAGCTAGTTTTACATAAAATTGTACCTTAATTCCTGTAATTAATGCTGTAATTTCTTGATGAAAATTTATTACAGTTTCTATTATGATTGAAGTGGAGGTATCTGATGTACCTGAAGATTGAGAGGTATTGAGACTTTTATTAGGAAAATTATGAAGATAAAAGAAAATGCGACTAACATGACAGCAATATATAGTAGAATGTTACAAAAAAAATATATAAAAAAAACTAGTTACTCATCCCGGCTTCGCACGCATGTATTATATAAGATAAGACTAACGAAGTATATACATATAAGATTTCCTCTAGAATCACTCTAACTATTAAAAAAATCCGCATCAAAATCCGTTGCGTAGTTTTAAAGATTTAAGCATAAATAGGGATGGACAGTCAGCGACAGCAACTTTGTTTTATATGTAATGATGATGAGGTGATTATAAAAATCAAAATAATATAAAAAAACTATCAAGGATAGATCTACAATGATATCGTTAAAAATGACTTCTATTTACTTTCACATCGTACATGTTTGTAACCTACTTATGCATAAACGAAATATCTCCTTTATACACACTCAGTCCTTAGGAGATAAAAACCATCCCTCCTAAGAAAATCCTTCCATTCTTGTTCCTAACGGGCCTAGACAGTGAACTCAAAAAAGGCGAGCACAATAACTCTAAGTAGGTCACAGTGCAACAGCTCCTTAAGAACATAGCTTTCAAATCTGCTTTATATGGGTTGATATGGATAAGACAGGGAAATAGAGTTAGACTTTCTCCCTCTGTTTCATTCAGTCTCTGTTTCTCTGGTGTTTACAGGGTAAATAGTTCAGGCTCTCTAGAATTGAATTGGATATAAAGATAGTTAGATACTAAGTTTCGATAATTCTCTGTCTGTTTTTCTCTATCTCTTTGTTTCTCTGGTGTTTTAGTGTTAGGGTTCACATCAATATTGCAGAAAAATCCGATATTTAAAAATGATGTTAAAAGAAGGTAGTTTGTACTTAGTACTAATGAAGTACCCAATGTAAAGATTATAACAAATATTGTAAACAACGCCATCTAGTATTTATAGTCCGAACCTAGATATTTGTCATAAGATAACCATTACCTCCACTTCTCTCCCTACTACACTGACTTCCGTCTATAAATACGGAGGTCGGTAGTTGATAATCCTCTTTCGTTGAATAAGTCACGGCATTCAGTCGCCGAGCGCAGAGCGTGCAGGTTGTGTTTTGGATACTAAAGTGAATTGTATTAGAAATGGGTTTATCTCGGTCTTAGTTGGGCCGGGGGGGAAGCTGCAAGTAGTGAAGTGACTGTTAATGCATTCTAAAAGGGCCTTTTAAACCTACACACGTGTCACAAGTCACTGGGCTACTTGGGGTTTCCCTTGCGGTATCCAGCTTCAAAGCCTAAGTTGTTATCATTTATTGGTGCTCCTTACATATATAATTTATAATGTTTTACTGCTATCATAAACTCGTTAATTATTAGTTCTATAAATTAATACCTTGTTAAGAGCCTGTAAATTAGATCGGCTGATGCCTGGAGCGCAAGTTGTTAATACCTCCTGTCTTGTGGAATAGGATGGTACCGGATTTTCATGTTTATTTACCTTTGTCCGCGTGGAATTTAACTTTATTTTTCTAAAATAAAAGTAGCCTAAGTTACTCCTTGTTACATCAGTTACCTGCGAATAAAGGTCCAGTCAAAATCGGTTAGTGCTTCTTACACTAGGATTGAATGTAACACAAAGATAGATCATAGATTTTGATAATAAATTATGAGTGGAAAGGGCAATAAATCATTTTACAACATTCCTAATTATTATGATTGATGCCTTTAGGAAGTCAAAGCGAGCTGAGTTAATTACGGAGTTTTAAAAATCTCACACAGTTGTACTCTCGGTATAACTGCCAAGAAGAAGTTCAATTAAGAGTTTCAAGAAGTAACAAGAAGTGTGGCAAGAATCCTATCTACTGACATTTGTATTTAGTATAAGCAAAATAACCACCGGTTATGTTTGGAAATAATATTATAAATTTATCGGAAATACATCAGATATCTCGTTAAATTAATGCAGGAGCAAATATGTAACTGACTATCTATGACTAATTAATAATAATATTCCAGAATCCACTTACTATATTTTGTTTTTAAATTGTCTAAATCATTACATAGTATAAAACAGTTTTCAATTGTTACCCCCCTCTTCCAGTCTCAAATGCCTTTGCCAAAACCACTCGAGGATCCTTAAACTTCCTAACAGTAGAACTCAGTTTATGGGTAACTCATTTTCGTTTCGTGCTGCTCAGCTATGGAATAATCTCCCTTTGGAAATTCAAAAAAGTCCATCTAGTGGTTCTTTTAAGAAAAAGTTAAAATCATACTACCTTTCTACTGCTATGTGATTAGTGTCATCATTGTATATATATATATCTTTGTAGTATTTGACGGCCTCGGTGGTCTAGCGGTCTAGCACACCGCTTTACGTCGAGGGTTCGATTCCTCGCACGGCACAAACATTTGTATTAATGAGTATGATTGTTTGTATCGGTCTGGGTATTTTCTATGTATAGTATGTATGTATTTACAAAAAAAAATATATCTATGTATTTGTATCAGTTATCTAGTACCCATAACACAAGCTTTAGCTAGCTTAACTTGTGTCTAGATGGCGCTGTGTGAATTGTCTTGAGATTATTATTATTATTATTTATTGTTTGATTTAATATATATTTATGTTTATCATATATTTATTATAAATGTAATTTTTTGTTTAGGTATTGAAGTACATATATATATATATATATATATATATATATATATAATTTTTTTATCTTTATGTATATTGTATTAATATCTGTATTTTGGACATTATATTTTTATGTTTAGTTTTAATGATTTATGACATTTTTATAAAAAATATTATTTGC